TATTCCATGCATAAATTCACGAATCGATTTTTTTTTTTCGACTGGCGGTGGCCGTCGCAGGCATTGTCTCTCCGTGTTCATGCTGTGAGGTTTTGGTCTGGAATGAGACCGGCGGCGCTCGCTCGCCTATGCGGCCCGGCCCGGGCCGCTTGCAGGCCCACGCCTCAGTAACCTGCTTTGAATATTCATTCCGGCAGTACTCGCTGCTCACATTTATCCCCCGTAATTGCGTCGCATTATACCAAACAAGTTGACGAGCCTTTTCCTACCGGGGCATGCTGCCGCCGCCACCGATGTGGCGTGGCGTAGCGCGGGGGGCGCGAGCCCCGCGGCGGGCGAGGGGCGGGGGGGAGGGGGGGGGGGGATAAGAGCAACCACGAGATCACTTTGATACAGGGTGGCCTGAGAACAACTGGCTATTCTACACACACTACCCTACAAACTACACCACTGAGGCACAATATCCTAGGAAAAATATTGCCCAGTTACAAAGAGTTTCAATAGTAAAATTTACTCGTTTCATGACACAGTCCGTTTCAGCGTATTTACACTGCCGAACCAGCGGGAACGCTCTACGTCATTCCAATATTTCCATGGAAAGCTGTGAGTAAGTAACGCAGCAAGTTGGCGAAGTGTCACAGTTCACTGGTTAAACAAACGTAAGACTGGTTAACACATTTTGAGGAAGTTGCACTGATACATCAAAAGTAGAACTCAATGGCAGATTTTGATCAAAAATAAAAATCTAACAGTCGGTCTCTTTTTTTCGTCCGGCAAAGCGGTATTTAAAAGTTCATCCCATACAAGAGAAAATATCTTTCACGCACTCAAGCAAACACACTCACACACACAATACAGTTAGACAATCACAGCATGTGCTCTACACTGAAACCAGCCTAAGGGCCGACTTTTCAAGCCACACATTCAGCATACACTGTTACAAGTAGTTGTTAAATAAAAACAGCACTTTTAGTGATGACTGTGTCGTTGACAAACAGCAATGTTGTTGAAATTCGAGATCAACAAAAGTTGTCGGAAGGCAACGATGTTTGTTATGAATTCCAAGCAAGAAATGTGTTGTTCATCGACAACGTTTGTTGCAACTGAACGATTTAAGTTCATTCCGGATGACCTTTTTGTGGCTTGACAACAGTTGTTGTTACATTACAAGTCGATACTGTTGTACAACAGAACGGTACATTGAAAAACTTAACTGCTTGGCTGTTAATTTACAACATTTTTATTTTTGTACAGCGTAGGAGTTTCTAGGCGGGATGAAGTCGGACCCTAGTTTAGCCTCACCACATTCCGGAATACAAGACAAGTGCACACATGACGATGCAGGCTGAACCGGCACACCCAGGGCCCTCGCCTCGTCTCCCGCCTCCCCCACGCGGGCCGCAAGCCACGGAGCACGTGCATGTGCACGTGGACGAGCGACCGGCGACTTTCAAATCTGGGGGGCGCGCGGGGCCTTGGCTCGGCGCTCCTGGGTCACTGACACTCCGAGACTCGTCGAGCGCTGCGATGGTGGCGAGATGAAGCTGTACATGGCAAGTCCAAGAGCACGGTATGAAGTTCCTACTGTACCCAACACCACGTAGGAACTCTATACCTCGCTACTGGATCATTACCAGAGTCGACGTGACTGAGGGACGTCCTCCGGGGCGTCTTCTTGGGGTGTTTGGCGGTCCTCTCGCAGGCGGCGGCCGTGGCAAACACGTCGCGTACATCGCTGGGCCGACGCCAGGCGGGCGGGCAGAGTCCCGCGCAGGGGGCGCAGGCAAACTTCCTAATAGCGTACTTACTCACGCGCACACACACAGACACACACACACACACACACGCACACACACGCACATTACTCACACCTTGCGCTACTAGATTGCAGTATAACAACCGGACGGCAACTTCAACTCGTTAACACGCCTACGTGTAGGAGGGGGAGGGGCTGCAGCGGAGGGGGTGCATGGAAAAGGAAAACCACTTCGTCCTGTACGCCTCCACGCGGTTCGATCGCGCCCCTGATCGAATCTATACCCCCCTCCCCCACTCTCTCTTTTCCCCGCGCACAAACAACACGGACAGCGGGGCCCGCCCTCTCGACACCAACCAGCCATTTTTTGACTGGGGTGTAGTGAACGAGGCGCTCGAAAGACTCATTTCCTTTACACTCTCTCTTCTGATTGCGCACCCAGTTTCCTTGAGTGGCTGAGATAGGCGGCTTGTCAGCTGGATTTGAAATTAATTGTTCTCACATTTTGGGGTGTTGCGGTGATTTGACTGTCAATGACCCTAAAACGATTACTATAAGTTTTCCTTTCAAGAAGTCCGCGGTGTGATCGAGTATCATCTTCGCGATGCTATGAACTACAAAGAGAGCTTTCTTGCCGATGCCGAGCCGAGTTATGTAGGAAGCGGAAAGTAGAATGATTAATGTAAATTCGTCAGAAATTTATGGTTCTAGATTTTGGGTATGTAGAAGAGAGCGAGTTCCATTTAAGAGTGTGGCCTGCTCTGCTGCCGGTGGGCCAGCTCTGCCAGCTCCGCCAGCTCAGATCGCCAGATAGGCGGCCACACTCGCCTCACGGCGCCACAGCCAGGCTGGGCCGGGCAGGGCCATCGCATGCCGACCAATTTGCCTGCTACTTATCTGACAGCTGCCTGGCCGCCCCTGCAGGCACGGCCCAGCCCCGCCAGACCAGCCAGCCCTGGGAAGGGGAACTTGTTTGCGTCTCGCGTGTAAACGGAGGAGGAAGAGAGAGACAGAGAGGAGGCCAGAGGAAGCAAAACAAACCCTTTCCTCTCAAGCTCTGCCTCCACTACCCCGACGCAGCGTCGGATCAACTTCAACAAGGGTTAGAACGACGAATGCCTCGTAGAAAAGAAGAAAAGACGAGCATTTCAGAAAGAGAATTGAACAACAAAAGATACCCTCCCTTGGGCCTTTAGTTGAGGTTTTATCCCAATTTCGTACTTTCCTCCTTCCTATACCACCACCCTTCCCTCTCTTCACAGATTTCTTTTTCATTTATTCGAGACAGCATATGAGAAAAGGTTTCCCGGTTATTAATTCGCAGGCAGGCTCCGTCCGCACGCGGCGGGCGGGGCGCAGCGGGTGGGGCGGGATGGGGTGGGGCGGGCAAGACACGGCGGGTGGGGCGAGGCGCTCCGTTATGGGGCGTCACGTCGCCCCTACGAGGAAAAGAAAAATAAAGGATCAAACGAACCTCTCCTTACTTTTTGGAGGGTCGTCTCTCCCTAGTTATCGTAGTTTGCGTACATAGCAATTTTGTATTTTTAGAACGTGCGATAAAGTGGCTATTTTGTATACGTTCGACACGCAGTCACCCTTCGGAGCCGCAGTGGTGGACCTCGTCGTTGTGTGCCAACGCGCAGCCGCGCGCCGTGCGGACGCCGAGGCGTTCATGCTGTTTGCGAATGCATTTGCATGATGCCAGGTGTGCAGTGCACATGTGCATCACAATGACGCCAACCTCACCTGTCGCTAAGTGCACCGAGCTGCCGCCCATTTTTTTATGATGCAAACTAAGGAGGAGCCTTTGCATTGTGCCGAACAGATAGGATTGATGCTTTTAGCGGATGGTTAATATTTATATACATTAGCACAGAACCCTTTGACCAAACTACGTGTGTTGTGCGTGTGTGTGTTTGTCTGTGTGAGTGAGAACGCCCATTTACGTGGAAATACTTCCTACCGTCTCTTAAATACCGGCAAGGTAAAATAAATATGGCGGTTGCCGCGGCATATTTGAACATTGGCCACAGTGCCTTTTCCTTCACATGCACACGGGGACAAAGGTAAAAGCAACTACGAGGGGGTATTCACTTCCGTAATACCCTGTACACTCCACCTGGGTATTACTTGTAATGTAATACCGAATAATTACAAAACTGCTATAAATTGGCAAAATTTTGCGTGTAATTCCGGCGTAATACCCGGTAATACCAGGTAATTCTGTGTAATACCGAGTACTCTGTACAAGTTTTATGGTAGTGAATACCCCCTCGAGCAACTACGTGGAAGTTTCCTCTTTTGCTTAAAAACACACTGTAAAAAGCTTACGAACTAAATACTTTGCAACGTTACGAACAATTTTCGTTCTTTGTATTGCAAAGAAATTGTTCGTATTGCAAAGCGATTGTTTGTAAGGCTAGACGGGTCTTACGAACAATCAGTTTGCATTACGAACTATTTGTTCGTAAGCTTACGAACAATTAGTTCGTAATACAACGCTTCAAAATCCTTCGTAAGCTACGAACGTTTTGGTTTGCATTACGAACCTATAGTTCGTAAGCAATTTACAGTGCAGGCAGCAAGTGCGCCCCGTGAAAAAGTTGTACTACTTTCCAAGTGTTAACTCTTCTCTGGCTTTGTCTCTACGAACGACAATGAATTGTGCATGCCAATAGAAGTAAACTATCTTTTGATGAGGTAACCTTTTCTAAAAACACTTTGAATGTAAGCCAAACATTTATAAACTATACAGATCTCAGAGCACACGCTGTACGCTGTGATCGCTGCGCTTTGCAACTTTTCTACATTTCTTTTTTAATGACAATTTTTCGAATTTCGGAAAATGCCAAACATATAGTATTTGCCTTTGGTAGTAACAACTGACGCAATTTAAGTTGGATTTTTAAAAAGAATTGTAAGGTGCCACTGATTTTTTTGAGGAACTACTGCAGGTTTCAAAGGCATTAGAGGAGCCAAAACTAGCACTTTACAGGGGCAGTGGCGCCTATAAAGAGCACTATATAGCGCAATTTGTCTTCCATATAGTATAGTGTGCGTGTTGATGTCACTGACCTACACGGCTTGTTTACGCCTCGTACCGGTCCAATGAACTCGGCCATGAGCCGAGCCACGCCCGGCCGCGGGGGCCCTGCCTGCCTGCTGGGGTCAACATAACATGTATACGTCGGCGGTGTTCCGACGCCGACGTCGGCACGCTGACAAAAAAAGGTGCTGTACGTACTTGCTGTAAAATGGCGCCCCCGCGCGACGTTGGTTACCCTGCAAGCGAAGCGACGTTCCGAAGTGTCTGCTGCAGCACCTGGAACAGACCAAAAGAAGTTCATATTAGTTTTCAAGTTTAGCTCAGCTTCCTAGTCCACAGCACAATGGCGAATGCTTTTCTCAAACTCGCTCCCCTTCTTCTCCTCGGACAAATTTGGGGCGCAAATCCACCATGGCGCACGCCCAGCTCAACCCCCGATTTCCCAGGGGAGTTCGACCTCGACGCTGACGAAGGGTGGGGAGGGAAAGGGCCGGCTGAGTATCCTCATCTGCATACACGGACAGAAAAACGCCTGCCCGTATGTATCTTGTTTCCAAACTCACATGCATCCATGAAAACCTGGCTCGAAAATGCTGCTCTCCCTCCCCGCTTTGGCTCGAATGCTGTCAGCCCTGCAGCACTGAAGCGAATTCAAAGGTACACAAGGTGCAGGTATTTCCATTTTGACTGCAAGCTTTTCACATTATTCTTTTAAAACTACCCCTTACAGTAACAGTTCAATGTTGTTGGACAAATACGAGAGTTGGTAGGGATGGAGGAAGGAGGGGGGGGAGGGGGGCGGAGGGGGTGCATGGAAAAGGAAAACCACTTCG